GGGGAGGCAAGCCAGTAGGGCTGCTTAGCGACCTGATTTCCCTGGCCCCAAACACAGGCTTCGCCTCTTTCCGTGCTACGGTGGGGCTGTGGGAGGTTCCTGCTCCCGTGGACTTGCCGCTTGCGGCTCGTGGCCGCGTGAAGATCTTGTTCCACAGCTCACACGCTCCTGCAAAAAGCCAGGGTGAGCCATACGGGCTGTGGGCTCCGAAAAGAGAGGGCAGGGCCCGGACCAGGGACCGAGCGTTTCCCGTCAGCTCTGGGACTCTGTCGCTCAGTCTCTGCTCGGTAGCAAGCGACAGGGACAGCGACCGGGCGATGTCTGGGTCCGCGCAGCCCGCGGTGGCTTTGTGCCGGCTCCCGCGGTGGGACCGACCTCTCCTCAGCTATTCCTCCCCCTCCTCCTTTCTCTGTCTTGCAGCCCCCCCCTCCTGGCTGTCCCCCCAACGCCGCCCAGCTGGCCGTGATGCAGGGAGCCAACGTCTTGGTGACGCAACGGAAGGGAAACTTCTTCCTGGGAGGCTCAGATGGCGGCTACACTATCTGGTGAAGAAGGAAGGGGAAGGGGGGAGAGGGGGGGGCTACATTTGTGTAAGGAAAGACATCACATACTGTCAGCACTTCTCACGATGTAACTGCTTTAGTCCATATTAACCTGAAGTTGCAGATTAGACGCACGGTGGTGAGGTGTCTTCCTGGTTCGGTGCCCGGCCCTGCAGGCAATTTGAAGCGAAACAAGAAACCCTGATAACGATAGCGGCGCCTCCGTTCAAACGGAGAAGGGGTGGGGGGGGAATTAATTCGCGAAATGAGCGTGAGCTCAGCAGCCCTGCCTCTTCCTTTCGTTTCGCCGGAGCTAACACCGCAGCGCTGAGCTTTTATTAATCGGTGACCTATACACTGGCTTTGGGGAGGGGAGGGAGCGGGTCCGGTTTCTCCTTCCCTTCACGCTTGTACCGGTCCGCTGGTTCCCCTTCCATCCAAGCAAAGGCGCTGGGTAGAAAAGCGATGCAAACGTCACTTCCCAGGCGCGGGGAGGGCACCTTGGCGCTTCTTTCTTCCTGACCTCACTCTAGAACGGATCCCTGGAAGCACTCCGTGCTCACATTTGCCCATCGTTTTCCTCCAGGAAGGTATGCAGCTGGCGCGTTTCATGGGATTTATTTTATTTTTTTTTATACACTCCAAGTAATCTTGGATTTCTTTGCACATTAGATCTGATCAAAGCCATGCTTTGGTGCCAGAAACACAATGCAACTCATGTTCGAACATTTCATTCGATGCTAACTAGGCTTTTAGAACGATGCTTAATAAACAAACGTCTTTATTTTTAAACTCAACCTGGTGTCTTGACACCAAAACTCCTTAAGGCTGTTGTTCAAACGGAGAGGCTGGTTACCATCTGCCCAAGGGTGTGTAGCAACTGTCAACACACAAATTAGCTTGGTTAATGGGTTGTTTTACGAACGCATACTTTAAAAATGACTTGGGTATAATGAAGTCTTGTTAGGGTTAAGAAGAATATTTCAGGGATCCTCAGTGTTTTGGTTTTCTTTTTCTTTTTTTGTTTTGGTTTTGTTTTATGAAGAAAAATATCAGATTCAAATATATTTTATCTTGAGGTTTCAGTTTAATCTAAATCCGTGTCTTGTATATGTTGTGTTTAACCATACAACTGACTGTTACGAAAGTTCAGCATTACGTCTCTCTCTGTATACACTGTGGTGCACTTAACTTGTGGATTTTTTTATACTAAAAAAAAGAAAACGTAGAATAAAGACTATTTTGAAAATTTGAATAAAGTAGCAAATTTGCCTTAGACCTCAAATAAACCCCCTGGGCTCCTGCCCATCGCAAGCCGCCGGGTTTCTTCACTTATTTCCTCTTCGCTGCTATTTTGTGAACTTCCTCCCTTGGGTCTGGGTTGGTTTTTGGGTTTTTATTTTATTTATTTTTTTTTTTCCCCCCCTCTGGGTTTGATTTAAAGGAGGAACGGCCCTTGAGAAGGGAGCGGAGGAGCGATGGCTGGAGCTGCTCCTCGCCCCGTCTTTCTGCATGGGAAAAGGAGGAGAAAAGTCACGTCTGTGCCTACGTGTCGGTGCTAACGCCGGCTCCGCAGATGAAGCAAACCCGCTCCGCTTCCGATTCCCCCGTAACTTGCACCGTCCATCGGCCTGTTTTATGTGCAGACTTTAACCTTAGCCTCCAAATTAACCCTGCTAATTACCCCACCCCTAGATCATCAGCAGAATAACTTAATTGTTTAGTGAGATAAGGAAAAAAAAAAAGAAAACAGGGACTCTGGAAGTGTTTATCGCCGGGCTGTATTGGAAAGCACCGAAGGGAGGGGACGCGGTGGCCGTGCCTGCTCTCCTCCGCCGAGCTGAACTACTCCCTGCCCTTGGTCTGCTCCGGGATCCATCGTCGGCTTAATAAATTAAGGAAAAAAAAAAAAGAAAAAAAAAAAGAAAAAAGCAGCTTGTAGATCCCCAAGTCCAGGAAATTTAGGTAACTCGGACCTGAGCGCGTCAGAGAGCTGGACCTGGTGGCTTAGATAAAATATTCTTCTTTTTCTTTGGATGGAGCATCCTCCATCTGCACCGACACGTCGGTCTCTGCCGCCGGCTGCTCGTAGGTGAGGTAGCTGCCTTTGTTTCTGTACAGGTAGATGATGATCACCACCAGGACCGTCAGCAGGGTGAGGAACACCAGGGTGATGACGACTGCCGGGGAGAAGGCAGAGAGGAGCAGGGTTTAGCCCCCCGAGCGGTCGGTACCGAGCTGCTCCGCGGTAAACGGGGTGAATCCGGCGAGGAGAGCCCCTTACCTGCGATGACCACGGTGTTGGCGTCCTCATGGAGAGGTGGGGTGTGAGCCTTCTTCAGCAAGGGGGTTGTCAGCTCTTCTTCACCAAACCGGCAGAGAGGGAGAGAGACGGTGAGCAAGGCTGGTCCAGACCCAGCTCTGAGCCAGGCTTAGCTGGACCTGACCCCGGGCAAGGTCTTGCCGAGGATTATACGGCACGAAGAGCCCGGCAGAGCTGTCCCGGGGCGCTCACCTGAGGTCAGAGGGGGCTGATCTCCTTCCATCGCATCGGCTCCTTCCAGGCGAAGGTCAGGGCTCCTTCAGAACTACCGGGGAAAAAAAAAAAAAAAAGAGAATAAAAGCGATAAATTCACTTTCAAGGACGCAGCCGCGACGGGGGGATGTCGGCGGTGATGCGGCAAAGGTTTTATTCGGGTTGATGGAGAGGAGCGGGCTGGGGCACACCAGGCTCACGGCAAGGTAGTGAAGGCAGGGAAAACCCACCCCC